GGCTGCGGTTTTTCCAGTTCTCAGCAGTAGTTCTGAAATCTGTTTGGCAATCCTGAAGTGCCTATAAATCACAATGCCTCAGATAATCTTCACAGTACTTTCGCTCTAACAAGACACTTTGCTTCTGGCAAATTTCTCAAGCCAATCCGTTTCCTTTTATCCCCTAAGGGGGCGTGTTAGTCTCATTAATTAATCATTGGCTCGACGCCTCTTTCCCAATTGAGATTGACGTCTCAATCTCCGTCTATTTCTCACATCAAGCCAGGATCCCTCAAAGTCCTCCTCCTCGCCTGAAACCTCTCGCACGTTTTCCTGATTATCTGCCACCGGCTGCTGCGTAATCAGAGAGGGAGACTCGGGGGAGGTAGAAGACTCTGACAGCTCCAATAAATTAGGTTCATCTCTCATAGCTAAGTCCACTTCCTCATCCTGGCTACCCTCAAAATCACTCAACAATGCAGGCTCAAATCTCACTGCTAGATCCTCTTCACTCGAGATCACATCTGCCAACGGACCAGATTCAAATCCCGGAGTCACAACATACATACATATATACATATATATACATACATACATACATATATATATGTTGTATATTATATATATGTTGTATATTACTATCTGTAATTGGTGTGCATAAGTGCACAATCGTGCCTACCGTCCCTGTCCTATTGTCCCCATTTATTTGAACTTATTTCGTGTATTCATGTTTATTCTTATACCTATTATCTTGTAAGTGATTGACAAATCAAATAAATAAAAATAAATAAAATATTTTGCCCAGTTAAAGATTGCAAACATGAGAGTTTAGTAGTATATAGCTCACATGATTATACCGCTTTCTGGTCAGTTACCATAATAATGATGTTCTGTTTTGATCCCACCCATCATTTTTCTGCCTCCACTTTGCTTGACCTTGGCTCTGATAGAAGATGCAGTGAGCCATATTTTTCATTTCTTGTACTGAGAATGTTTCCCTTCCTGGAATATTATGGAGGCCAGGAGATGCCCTAGTTGCTTCTTTCAGATACACGATGGAGACAGTGATGACAACTAACCTGCAGGTCTCTTTCTAAGAGTAGTAAATGATACCTATGCCAGGTAACAAAAGCAGGGCCTTGATGGGAGAAATCTATCTCTGTAAACGGACGGCCTGGTCCTGAAAACAGAGAGAAACAAAAATTAGATAAAAAGACACTCTGAAAGATAGGTTAGATCTACAAAGGCAGATTAAATCTACAATCTTCTGGTTCTCTCTACCATTCCCCAGTCTGCTCTTTCTCTCTCCAATTTTTGTGCCTCCAGGTTTTTTTGTCTTGTAAATCTGCATAATTTAGGTGCACAACCACTAATCCGTAAATCCTGCCTGCCTGCCTGCCTGTACACTTTCCACAGCAGCTGCTATTTTCCACACATTAAAATTAATCTTTGTGGATTAAGATTTGACCAAATAAAATGCCAAGATAAGGAAATTAATGTGAAAAAAATGATGGAATGTTTTTTAAAGGGAACTTTCTCTAAACCACCTATTTTCTGACATAGCCACATCAAAAAAAAAATTTTTTACTTGCACAAGGATCCCTGACATATTCGCATAATTGAAAAGTGACTATCCTGAGCACATGTAACTGGACAGGAAGGAAATGGCCAAGAGAAGCAAAGCACAGGCTACAGTTTAGCAATTATCCTCTTTCTAATGAAATCTGGAGTCATAGATTTCCCTTCCTTTGGAATCATCACATTTCTTCCCTCAGTTGCCTGCACAGTTCCAGTACTCCAGAAATAACCCTTCAATTACTTATACTGGCCAATGTAAAAATGTACTGTAGCCAGATGCTCACATCACAACAACTTCAGTGCAGCAAGAGTATTCTAAAGAGGAACAAAGCTTGCTTTGTAGAAGCAACTGATAAGCACACTGACTTTTGCTCACTAGTTATGGATTGGTGCTTACCACAAGTTAGACAGTTTCAAAGTTATTTCAGTCCCAGGCAGGGACTAAAGAAAGGAGACTTGGAAGAGCTGGTTGATGGGTTTAACTTGGGGGAATCACAGTAGTGCAAGAAAACACACAGCCAAAGAAGGGAAAAATCATATTTGTCCTTTTTTTTTTTAAACCAGCTCCATTCTTCTATGCCTTTAGTTCCAGCTTAATCTGAAGAAATCAGCATGTGGGAAATTCTTCAGTTTCTGTTCTCTATGGATCAAGTTACTGCTAAAATTATGGCTGGATCATAACTTCTCATCTGTTGGATTCTGCAAAAGCTATTTCTTTTGTTCCCAAAACAGGAGAATAATAAAATGTAGCATAGATAGGAACCTTTGGCTGATGGACTGGCCTACATTGGCCTCAAACAACATGGCCAATAGTTAGAGGCAATGGGAGTTGCATTCCAATATGCAAAAGACGTTTTCTCAATCTGGTTTCTTAGGTTGGGGTTATAACTCAAAAAGTTCTCAGGAAGAACAATCTGGAGCCCCATATTGGAGGAAGCTGATCATCAATCTTCTAATAGGGAACCAAATAAATTGCATCCATATTACCTACAATATTCTTTTCAGTACTTAACCTCCTGTGATGACCCGTGGCATGGCACAAAGGCAACACAGTCAAATAAGAAAGAAGAGTCCCTTTAGTATCTCCAACTTTGCTCCCAATGTCCAGGTTACCTTCGGCTGGAGAAAAACTCTCCCAGGAACAGTCTTTAAGTGGAGGAAATTCAGTCCGAAAACAAAGTACATACAAACTGTAACTAAAAATCCAAACAAATCACACTGCAGTAATTAACTTGACAGGGCAGAAGAAGGAATTTCAGACTTGAAAGCACAGCAAACACACACAGTTGGGAAGATGCCAGGAACACAGATAAGCCTGAATGATACCAGATAATTCACAAGTTACTCCGAACAACTTGCTATGCGCAGCTTCCCTTTTTAAACACTGTGTTCCCAGCTAATGAAGGGAATTAGGGCCCTTTCCTCCCCTGCAAGCCACACAACTCACATTGCTCCCTTCTCCGTTCCTCCCTGGGTGCCCTAGGATGAAGAGGGGGTGGACCTGGGTCTTCTTCCGAATTCCCTCTCCCTTGCTCTACCTCTCCCCTGCTCTGCCCAGCCGGACTTTGCCCTTCCCCAGTTTCTTCCACAACCAGTGGAGCCACACTCCCACTCCCTCAGCCTCCCCCTCCGAATCAGATTCCGACAGGGGCATGACACCTCCCACCAAACTGGAAAGCACCAACCTAATAGAGTATCTCTGACTGAATAATAATGAAGCCACACATAGTAATTATAAATGCTGCAGTTTGCAACTTGTGGCTCATTTCTGCTGGGACCAAGCAGACTCAACCAATGCTGGGTTGCAATCATATAGTCAGGATGGATAGTAGCCTTGGCAAGATTGAGGGCATCTAAAAACTGCTCTCGCTCTTCATTTGTCAAAGAGTGGATGTTCTTCCGGACAACTGGAGGCTTCTTTTCATCACAATTGGACCCTGTCCATCCAAATTTGCACTCGCCACAGTTATAGCCAGCAAAATATCCTAAAGAAGAAGAGAGCATCATTTATATTACTGCTGGATACAAATGAAAATGCCAAGAAAAGAACATAAATGTCAACACACACGTAATTACAACATGTCCCTACAAACGCTAGATGCTGCCCTGTGGGAACAAACCAAGCTCATGCTATGAAGGAGTTGTTAAAATAAGTCTTTTGGACTCAGTAACACTTTCTAAGAACACAATACAGCTTGGGACATAGTTAGGCCCCCGAGCTCATAAGTATACCTGGGCTCTTTAGGAATTGAGCTCTTGTATTCCATGTGACTTAAAAATAGTAAAACAATAAAATTCTGGGCTCTTTTTTTTTTTTTTTTAAAGAAAACCAAAAATTGTATTTCTTTAAAAGAAAGGCAAAATGTTTCTACCGGGTTTTACAGCAGCAAATTTCCGTGTGCTAGGCAAAAATGTAAGTCCTAACCTTAACCCACTGTACTATTTCCTCAATGCTGGTAAGGGAAAGTATATATAGAAGTTCTTGATGGGGAAAAAACGGAGAGAACGCATATTTGCATGTTGATGCTTTAATCTTGTAACTGTAAATCTTACAACTATAAATTTAACTGAACTTGTGTGGGTAGGTGTATATAAACAAATACACACACACACACAAACACACACACATAAGTATGTATATAGGATCTACTCGCAAAAAGGAAAGTGATTGGCCATTGCTTTTCAGAAGATGGAATGGTGACAGAAACAAAGAAAATGTCCAAAAAAATATGTGGATATCTACAATCCAGACTATTTTGCTAGCTGTTGCCAGTGTTTGAGTCCAGGCAGGATTTCCTTAAGCCTTCTTAGAGTCAAGCCAGGAGGAGCATAGGACAGAAGCATCTTAAATGTGATCTGTATTCCCATTATACAGAAAGGTTGGGGCTCAAAACTTCACAATTCCCAGCATGGGGTTGTCTGACCTTGTTTACATATAATTATTAGTTTTTCTGCTATTAGCTATGTTGATTAATTGATCATAAAGATACAGTAAAGAGTAATAGAAAAGTTTAGTAAAATACTGTTACACTGGTGGCCTTTCCAATGTTTTTCTCATTACTTCTATGAGAACCTTCAAGAAATCTACTTTCAGAAAAAGAAATAGCCTTGGGAAGAATAATTCCATTAGCCCTTCACATCCTGCATGCATGGGAACTTACCGCATTCAGAAAAGATGTATTATGAAATTAGCTGTGTCACAGCAATAATGACTGGTAATTGCTTGTAATTGCACCCATGACCTCTATTCTAAACCAGTTAACTTACTACAATACATTCAAACGATAAACATTTACAAGAAGTATATTAGCAGAAGCAAACAAGAATAGGTCAGACTTTCTGATTTAATTATCCCCTGATTTACAAAATGGAAGACTTAAGTAATATAAGATCCACCATGTACAATAATGCAGTTCAAGACTTCCATATACACACAAGACTTTAGCATGGAATTAATGGCAATTAGAATCGTAAGCATATAAAACTACTATGTTCACGTTTGCTCATGACTGCAATTATAGAAATATTAAGTCTACTCTGGATTTCTGTAACCTGTGGCACATTAAACTTAAGATTGTGTAAATAGTCCCCTTACTGGTACACTATGTTTGACTGCTAGGCCACGAGTTGGCTAAAACAAGGGTGGGCAAAATAATGTTCTCCAAATAGTGTTGTATTGCAATTCCCACAAGCCTTCAAGATTGGCCATAATGAGTGATAGTGTTGGAGTCCAACAATGTTTTGGAGGAGGGTATATGATGCTCCTGAATTGGGGGGGGGGAGTGAGGGAGATATTCCTGTGATGAAAGAAAGCCACGTGATCAGGAAAACACCTCTACCTGTGCTTTGCCCTCCCTGTGTGATATTGTGAGGCCTCATGGAAAGGAATGGAAGAAGGAGCAAACCGCTAAGAGATGGCAGGTAATGAAAGAACAAATCAAAAATTGCATGATAACTTGAAAGCAAAATTTTAAAGAAACATTTTCAGTGGACCAATGGGAAGAATTATGAGGGGGGGGGGGATTAATAAAATTTATTCCAGTTATAATTTATGGGGAAATTGGTATAAAATGTCTGATGAAAAATAAATCTGCCAAGAAAACATAGAAGATATATAACCACAAATGTTGGAAATGCTGCAACCAAGACTCTACCTCAATCATAAGGTAGCTATATTAAAATAAAACACCTGAAAACAATAGAAATATATCAAAATATTCCAAAACTTCTTAAAAATGAAATTGGGACTGCAACTCTTAAATATTTTAATTAGATATACTTCTAGAAAGCACGAATGAAAATTTTCATAATTCATTGAGAGATATAGAGAGCGGCAAAAATAAATTTGGCCCAATGCTGGGAAAAAAAAAAAGAGAGTATTTGTGTCTT